TTGAAATCCTGCCCAGTCTTGTGCCAGTGGTTTGACTATCAGACCACTGCTATGCTTAAGACTGAGTTTTAGAAGAAGGTCACCAGGACATTCCCCCTAATCTGTTTTAACCTGAAAACTCCTCTGAAATCTATTCGGCATCATAGCAACACACAAGCCTTCACTGCCACATGTGTGGTGACTGTACCTGAGGTGAATTGGCCTAGGTCAAACTCAGGTCTCTCTCATGGAAGGCAAACATATTAGCACTGAAACCTTAATGCCTCATCTGTTCTTTAACATAATCCTCATGATAACCCTATGTTATTCTTAGGTGCCATTGCTTCATTTCCACTAACAGTGATCATGTGCACAACAAAACTGGTCTTGCACCATTCTCGCAATTGTTGTTACATTTGAGTACATTTCAGCTGCCACTATGTCAGTCCAACTTATTGGGGGGGGGGGGTCTTCCTTTTTTGTACTGACTCTATATTTTACAAAGCATGATGTCCTTCTCCGGGACTGGTCCCTACTGATAACATGTCCAAAGTATGAGAAACGATGTCTCACCATCCTGGCTTCTAAAGAGCATTCTGGCTGTATTTCTTCCAAGACATATTTGTTTGTTTTTCTGGCAGTCCATGGCAATTTAAAAATTCTTTTCCTACACCATGATGCAAAAATATCAGCTTTTCTCAGCCTTACTTATTCATTGTCCAACTTTCAAATGCACACGACATGACTTGGGTCCATTGCATCTTAGCCCTCGAGTTTATCTACTTTTCTTTGGAACACTTTAAGAGGTCTTGTACAGCAGATTTGCCTAGTTCAGTGTCGCTATGGGTCGGAAACAACTCCACAGCACTTAGCAGCAGCAACAACAATAGGTTGTTTGATTTCTTGATTGCTGCTTCCATGAGTGTTGATTGTGGACACAAGCAAAATGAAGTCATTGACAACTTCAATCATTTCTCCATTTATGATGATGCTATTTATTGGCTCAGTTGTGAAGATTTTTGTTTTCTTTATATTGAAGTGCAATGTATACTGAAGACTGTAGTCTTTGATCTTCATTAGTAAATATTTTAAGCCCTCTTTACTTCCAGAAAGTACAGTTTCATCATCTGCATTTTGCAGTTTGTTAATCAGTCTTCCTTCAATACTGATGCCATGGTCCTTTTCATATATTCCAGCTTCTCAGATTACTCACTCAATTATACAGATTGAATAATTGTGGTGAATGGATACAACATTGGTGCACACACTTCCTGGTTTTAAACCATTCAGTAGCCCCTTGTTCTGTTCAAATGATGACTTCTTGGTCTGTATAGATTCGTCATGAGCACAATTAAGTTTTCAGGAATACCCATTCTATGCAATGGTATCTATAGCTTGTCATGATCCACACAGTTGAAAATATTTGTGTAGTCAGTGATAAAGGTAAACATCTTTCTGACGTTCTTTGATTTCAGCCAAGATCCATCTGATGTCAGCAATGATATCCCTAGTTCTATGTCTTCATCTGAACTCTGCTTGAATTTCTGGCAATTGCCTGTGGATGCATTGTTGCACCTGTTTTTGAATTGTCTTCAGCAAAAATTTACCTGTGTGTGATATGTAATATTGTTCAATGATTTCTGCTTTCCATTGGAATGGGTCACCTCTCTTTGGAATGGGTACACATATGGATCTATCCCAATCAGTTGTTCAAGTAGCTGTCTTCCAATTTTCCTGGAATAGATGAATGAGCACCTCTGGTGCTGCATCAATTTCTTGTACATTATCAGTTTATATCTCATCAGTTTCTGGAGCCTTCTTTTTTTGCCAGCATTTCCAGTGCAGCATGGACATCTTGCCAATGAAATAGATACAATTATATCTATTTTAATTAAGTATCAGAACTTGTAAGAAATTTATAGAAGTTTCCACTTCTGGAAAAGGGCAGAGATTGTTTCTAATGTTAACTTTCCAGAGTTCATTGCTTATAGGTAAATCCTGGTCTTTACCTCCATGCTTATTTATTACATTATGTGCTGCCTTTGAATATAAGAACATTTAAAAATAAACTGTGATTGATAGATTGATAAAACAACATCTCGTGATTCAATTATTGTGGACAGCAATACAGATTTGTGACATATCTGAGAGACTATTGTTGTTGTTAAGTGCTGTTGAATCGGTTCTGACTCATAATGACCCTGTATAGGGTTTCCAAGGAGTGGCTAGTGAGCTTTGAACCGCTTGGCCTTGCAGTTCAAACCGATCTTGCAGACAATCACATTAACCCATAGCTCCACACCAGGACTCTTCGTATATGTGAATTAAGTTTTATGAAACCAGAGATTTCTACCTTGTAGCCTTGGCCTCAGGGACAGCAAAGTGTGAATGAGTGAAATAACTAGCTAAGAAATCAGACTAGTATAAAGCCATTTAGTAAGTTACTTTCATATCTTAAATTAATTAGTTGAAAGATGCATTAGTTGTTCTAATTTTGCCCCTTTGGGATCCTAGAGAGCTTCCAAGATTTATATAGCTTTGAAAACTTACTTCAGTAATACTAATGAATAGTTGGTGTTTGGGGGAAACTTAACATCTACCATCTAATTGTGCTTCAGTTTTCTAAAATGATTGCAACGGCACAGAAGGTTTTAAAAACTTCACATAAACCAAAAAATGATTCTAAGCTTAGCCACTTATTAAGATCCCCGAAGGGGTACTCTTCTCATGTCTCTAATTCAGAATCTCGTCCAAATATATTCTTAGGGCCACCCTATGTAACATCTCCTGAATTGCAGGATGTGTAGACCCAACTCTTTGAGTTTTAGTCTCTTCAACATTCTTATATGTTCTTAATATGTACGAATAATAAATGCTCCCAAGTCAGCAGAAATTTAGAAGTCAAACCTGCCACATGTATGAAACATATTAAGATGATTTTCTGAAAACTAATGCTTATTAATGACTTAATTATAAAGAATATCTGAGTGTTGCAAGATTACTCTTGTAAACAGATGCATTTTCTATTTGTACCATCCCTTTAAGACCACCTGCATTATTTGGTTGCACTGTATAACATCTTTCCAGACTTGTCTCTGTCACTGTAGTGGTCTCAATTATTCCTGTAAGGCTAGTGAAATCAGTGTAAGCATTTCATTTCTCTTTGTGTTTGAAATTTGAAGGTGGAGAGGGGTAAGGTGTTTGTAGTATATAATTTCTAAAGCTTTATCAAACTCTCCTGGTTTGAGATAATGAAATGTTTATAGATCTTACAATATCTATAAATGGTAGGGTATGGCTATCAAAACTACACATTCAAAAGTAGTAAAGTTACTAAAAAAGTTAAATGTTCAGTAGCTCAAATAAGCTTTACCCAAACTTCGTCCATTTGAGTTCTGTCTTTATAATTTTCTTAAGTCTGTATAATATTGCAACCATGTTTTAATCTTCAGCATTAAATATTAAGTAAAACCCAAATACGGATGATCTATTTTCTACTTTTTTTACATTGACTCAGTAAATCTAAATACCTAATACCTAATTTAGTCTGCATTTAAGTGATGTTGTTGTTGTTGTCAGGTGCCATCAAGTCGGAACCGACTCACAGCAACCCCATGCACAGCAGAACAAAACAATGTCCGATCCTGGGCCAACCTCACTGCCGCTGCCACACTTGACGCCATCAATGATGCCACCTGGCTGATCCATCTCGTTGGGGGTCTTCCTTTTTTTCTCTGATCCTCCATCTTACCCAGCATGACATCCTTTTCCAGCGACTGTTTCCTCCGGACAATATGTCCAAAGTATGAGAGACGAAGCTTAGCCATCCTGGCCTCCAACGAGCACTCTGGCTGCACTTCTTCCAAAACAGATCTATTGGTTCTTTTGGCAGTCCATGGCACTTTTAGTATTCTCTTCCAACACCACAACTCAAAGGCATCAATTCTTCTACGATCTTCCTTATTCACTGTCCAGCTTTCACATCCATATGAGGTTATTGAAAATACCATTTAAATGATGGTATCAGAGAAATCACATTTAAGTGATGGTGTCAGAGAAAACAATTCCAATTGTTTTATTCTGATAAATCTTAAAATAAACACATTGTCATTGAACTTAATAAAGTTTCTGAGTAAACAAAAATCATGCCTTATAATCTGCATTTTACCTCCTGAAGTGAGTTCTATTGGATCTACACTGAAGATATTGATAGGAAAATAATAAAGGCTTGTACACAGGTTGCCATTTTTTGGACTACTCCAGTCTTAAGATATAAAGGATATAAAGTAAAGGATGTATAAGAATTCCAGTGACTGCAATCTGGAGGTTTTTAAACAGTGTGTTTTGTCAGACATATAAAATTTTCTAGGTGCATACACATGAGTCCTGGTGTTATGTTGTAAGATAAACTATAGACTGCTAACCACAAGATCAGCAGTTCAAACCCACCAGCTGCTCCTATACAGGGTCGCTATGAGTTGGACCTAACTCAGTGGCACATGCAGGAGAAAACTGCAAATAATGCAACAGCAACTCTGCCTCCTCCTAAGGAATGCAGATGTGTTCTTTTCTAACCCGGGAAAGGTCTCTTGCGGCCTCACAGGGAGCTCTGAGAGTTGTGACATTTCCAAGCTCTGCTGCTGTAGCTGCTCATTTGCGTTTTATCTTTGCCATCCTGACATCTAAATCTCAGTTTTGTTATGATGCTTTGACAGCTATCCAAAGAGAAGGACCAGAGAGCACAGCAGGTAAACCAGGCCATTCATGCAAATGCTTAGGCATAATACTTGGGCCAGTAAACAAGACAGGGGAGCATGAGGCCAAAGGCCAGGTCTTCTTCATGGAGGGCTGAAGAAAATCAATCCACAGCTTTTCTTCTGGAGGCAAGGACAATTTATTGCATATCAAACCAGTGATGACTATTGTGTTCTTCTTTATGGAACACTTGGGATGAGTTGGGTGGGGAGAGCAGTTGAATAATAAAACTCCAATAGTTAATTCCCAATTCTCTGCCTCCTCAGGTCCCTGAGCAAAATGGGAAATGGTTCAGTAAAACCCAAGCATTCCAAGCATCCAGATGGCCACTCTGGGAACGTCACTGTCGATACCCTGAGGAGCAAGGTGACAGAACTGGAGAGAGAACTGAGGAGGAAGGAGGCTGAGATCCAGGAGCGAGAGTACCATCTGAAGGAGCTGCGGGAACAGCTGTCGAAGCAGACTGTGGCCATTGCTGAGCTCACAGAGGAACTCCAGAACAAGTGCATCCAGCTGAACAAGCTTCAGGATGTGGTGCATTTGCAGGGTGGAAGCCTGCCTCAGGCTTCTCCAGAGAAAGTGCCTCTTGAGGTCCACCGGAAGACCTCAGGGTTGGTCTCTCTTCACAGCCGAAGGGGAGCAAAGGCTGGCGTGTCTGCCGAGCCAACAACCCGAACCTATGACCTCAACAAGCCCCCTGAATTTTCCTTTGAAAAAGCAAGAGTCAGAAAGGATTCCAGGTAAGACGTTCGCACATCCCTTTGATTCACATTACCTCAATTTCATGACATACAAGAGTGATCTTCATTAAGCTTTTTTATTGATAAAGAGCTTATTTACCTGTCCAAATTTTAGAACAGAGGAGCCTTTTAAATGGTTTTGCCTTGCGGGCAAAGAAAAGGATCTCTCTGTGAGCAGAACTTCTCTGCAAACTAGAACTTATATTTGTTTTGTGTAATATTTATAATCAAGAAGCTGAAATTTCCATCATCTTGAAAATCCTGTGATTGTGAAAAGGTAGTTTTAGGAAGTCTGCCGTTCCTGTCTCTTATCTGAGTAGAGATAATAATGTATGAAATCACAATGAATCATTAATATTTATAAATAAAAAAGAAAACTTCTTAGAAGTTAGTCTGTGTCATGAATAAGGATTTAGTTGGAGCCTCAAAAAGGGATGGAATCATTCATTGATTTATTACATAATGCATGTTGAGCACCTGCCCTTTGCCAGTATACATTAGTGAGTAAACAGACATCCAACTTTTCTCATGGGGGAGATAGACATTATACAAAAAAAATAAATAATGCAAGGTCAGTTTGAATCACAAGGTGGGTGGTTCAAACTCACTAGCTGCTCCTTGGAAACCCTATACAGTGTCCCCATGAATCGGAAAAGACTTAGCGGTACTTAACAACAGCAACAATTATAATTGGGGAAATTATGCGAAAGAAACCAACAGTATAGTGGTGCCTAAAATTAGGTGGAAAGAAAGGTAAGGAAGCACCCCAGAATGGATTGTCATGAAGTTTTGTCAAAGGAGATGACCTTTAAGTTGAGACCCGAAAGAGGGAAAACAGCATTGACTAAGGTGTAAGCACATTTCAGGCAGAAAGGATATTCAAAACTAGTTAAAAGTTTCAAAATACAAGTTTTTAGAAGAAAATGTAAATACTTAACCATAGCATACTTGTGTGTGTCTGTGCATTTAATGGGGGACAAAAGTTTGAATTTTCTGATCAGGGAACCATCTGAAAATCAGGATTTAGGTTTCCCTTTATGCATTATTTTTAAATTAGTAACTATTTATTGATTGACATACAATCTTTTACTTTGGTAATGTCTTGACTGACCCTGGATCTCTATTACAAGGTGCAAGATCTGTGATTTTTAAAACAAGTATTAGTTTATTAAAGATACAGATAATAAAAATAAAGGTAAAACATCTGGTTAAACAAATATGTGATATGTTTTGACAACAAAATGACTAAAGAAATTTAATTCTTCAGTTTGTTGACAGTGCTTAGCAAAGAGTAGATGATCAATAAATACCTATTTATTGATCCATGCTGGAAGGAAATCAGATTAATACTAGACTTCAGAAGACTGAGGCAAATGTTTTATTGTTAGTTGGTTTAGAAAAACCTGATTTGTTTCCATTGAAAAATTAATAATGAATTTTAATGGTTTTAATTCAGAAATCATAAATATTACAAACTTATAATTGTTTTACAAAAACTGAATATCATCTGTTGTTCTTGTTGTTAAGTGTCATCGAGTCAGTTCCAACTCATAGTGACCCTGTTTAGGGTTTCTGTGGAATGGCTGGTGAGTTTGAACCGCTGAACTTGTGGTTTAAACAACCTTGCAGTTCAGTACTTATCTTACAGTGCCATACCAGGACTCCGAACATCATCTGTTCTTTTTTTATATATTGTATATATGTGTGTTGTTGTTAAGTGCCATTGAATCAGCTCTGACTCATAGAGACCATGTATAGGGTTTCCAAGGAGCAGCTGGTGAGTTTGAACTCCCAACCTTGTGGTTCAAACTGACTTTGCAGTCCAGTATTTTATTCTGCAGCACCATACCAGAATGCCAGCACACAGGATAAGAGGGGCATTATGTTCCCGAATAAGATTAGCGGTGATTTCCTTCATTGTAAAGAGAAGTCAAAAGGATGCATGTCTTTCCAAGGCATTGTGAAAAAATGGGCTAATTGATGCCTGAATCTTTATAGTTATAAAGAGACCAGTGGCCTTCATATGATTTTCCAAGAGCCTTGCAGTTCTAAATTGTTGTTGTTAAGTACTGTGGAGTCGATTCCGACTCATAGTAACCCTGTACAGGGTTTCCAAGGCTGTAAATCTTTACAGGAGCAGAAAGCCTCATCTTTCTCCCACGGAATAGCTGGTAGTTTTGAACTGCTGACCTTGAGGTTAGCAGCCCGATTCGTAACTACTACGCTATCAGAGCTCCTTGCAGTTCCAAATAGAAAACTTAAATATAATATGAAAATCATTCTTTTCTTTATTGACTTGTCTGTGGTTTATTTTCTCTGGCAAAATCACAACATACATTTCTCTTGAAGTCTGGGATAACTAACTGAACACAAATAGCTGATATCATCAATTCAGAGATTTGCAATTTTCCAGTTGGTTCAAAGATACTAATTATTATAAATCATTCATCACTGCCAAATAGCTTTATTTTTGGAGAAAAGTCACATGCAATCTTTGGATATTTTTATGTATCTTGTATAAACCTAGCAAAATTTTGTATGAAACAATTTTAAAAAGTTAGAACATTAATCATTGTGCAAGTGTGTTTCACTGACAAAAGGATGATATATAGTATCTGTTGGTTTGCCTACATTATTAAGTAATCCCTAATTGATAGTAAGGAATTTAATAAATTTGTCAATATGGCTCCTTTGCTTAGTCTTACGTACAGATGATTCTTTGTTAACCTTTTGTAGGAGTTGCTGCCTGCAACTAAATTTGTTCCTAACATTATGTGTTAGGAGTCCCTGGGTAGGACAAACTGTTAGTGTGATTGACAGCTTAACGAAAGACTAGAGGTTTGAGTCCAACCAGAGATGCCTTGGAAGAAAGGCCTGGCAATCCAACTCCCTCAAAAATCAGCCATTGAAAACCCAGTAGGAGCATAGTTCTCCTCTGACACACTTTTGGTCACCTTCAGTCATGAACACAGAATTAACTTGATGGTAACTTTTTTTTTTTAAAGCATTTTTCCAGTACATTTTGGATAAAGTTTACTTTCCACATTGGATCAGAAAGACTTTGAATGGCTTCTCAGTCCTTTTTGGCAAAAAAAAAAAAAAAAGCCTTTAATGAGTCCTTCACAGTGAGCGAACTGAAGGCAGACTCCCAGCCCTCCTACAATCAGTGATATTAGGGAGCTATGAAGTACTGACAGAAACTGAAGAATAAAATTTGGTGGAATGATATATTTGGAATTTAAAGATTCTATTTCAATAATTCATGAGCAAGTCTAAAAGCCATGACATAGCAGTCTGTGATTTTGCTGAGGCTCTTGTGTGCTCAAGTGACTGGTAACTGGACAGTGAGTCTCATCACCTGCCATCCCCTTCCCCCTCCCATTCATGGTAGCTTTGTTGTCTTGGAACCACCAGTGAGCTTTTTGGAGTCTGCGGTAGTGGTTAAACTGCTTTATATGGAGGGCCTTTTATACTCTGGTGGCATTGGGGATCTCTTGAAATTTGTCTCTTACAAAATTCAGTATTGTGTGTTTTTAAGATCAGGTTGTATGTAAAATAACTCAGTGTTGGCCACTGAATTTATTGCTGTGATGAAAATTGTTTATAATCCACACAGTCCATTATGGTAGTCATTAGCCAAGTGTGGTTTGTGAGCACCTAAAATTTGACTAATGTAGCTAGGGAACTGCTTTATATATGTATTTTAGTAAATATATAGGTAGCAAATTGTTTGCCTTTCTAATGTTTTTCACATTCACAATTCATTAGCATTAGTTATGTTTTATCAGTTTGTTCAGCCATAACCATTATCCATTTCCATTTTTTTTTTCCCTGTAGGAACTGAATTTTTAAATTTTGATTAATTTTAACTACTTAAAAATTAAGTAGCCACATGTATTGGATGGTTGTTATATTGCATAGTGCGGGTCTCGAGTATGTGACTTTGACTGTACTCACAATTGTATTAGATAGGAATTATGATCTAACTTTATAGACAGTGTAAGGCCTGTGTTTGTTTTTAGCACAAAGCGATAGAAAATGCAGATGTGTTGGGCACGATGTGGAGTCTCTTGCTAGCTGCACCAACCCTGTAGTAGTATTTTACAGCCCTTTGTAGTGAAATAGCTTTGTGCCCACTGACCATTTTAGATCTTCAAAAGCATAAAACTTCATGAGCACACAGTCTTTTTCTATTATAGTTACTTAACCTTTCTGAAGTATCTTATATCACATGAGGAGTTTGAGTATTACAGTATATGAAATACCCTGATCTCAAATCTAAATGTAATATGGTGAACATCAGAAGACTTTAAAGCTATAGGAATTATTTCATGCTCCCTCCCTTATTGGAGAAGTGAGGAGCTTGCAGAGGGAGTTGCTGAACATGCCATGGTAGATGGTAGAGCTAAGATTACATTTCCAGACTCTCAGCTTGGAAACTAGTTTTTTTTTAAATTCTTTACAGTGTTGCTATAGTATTCTCAGAATTACCATAAAGCTAAAAGGCCTCAAGGTAGAAGGTTTGAGAGACTTATCTGTCTTATTATGATATGCTCCACTGATTGGTAATGACAGCAGTGATGCTTCCTGGTGGAATGGCTTCTTCCGAATGTAGTTGAACAGAGTCTGCCCCTTGTATCAAGGCTTACTGAAGTCTGACTCCTCCAAGAGCAGCTCTGTGTGAAAAGGACATGGAGAATGAGTTTCCTCCATCTCTTTACATAGCAGACTATGTCATGTATTTGTTGTCATTGTTAAGTGCCATCCTGTCAGTTCCAACTTACAGCGACCCTGTATAGGATTTCTGAGGAGTGTCTGGTGAATTCGAACCACCAAGTCAGTTCTGAGTTATAGTGACCCTGTATAGGATTTCCAAGGAGAAGCTGATGGGTTTGAACTGCTGACCTTGCGGTTCACAGTCCAGAGCTGATCTTACAGCGCCACACCAGGAATGTATATGCAGGAGCAATATAGGCTATTACATGAATATAGCTCTTCTC